AGCGACACAAACGCCAATGTGAGAAATATCGATCGGTTGCCTCCTGCACACGCCTCAACCAGGGACAGAACGCACTGCCTAGGCAAGTACCCCGAGCGGGGATCGAACCCACAATCTTCGGTGGGTGAGCATGACACTCCAACCAACTGAGCCACCTGGCCAGGGCTGGGTGTACATTTTCATCTCTCCTGGGCATGTACCTAGGAACGTAACTGCGGAGTCACAAGGTGACTGCTTTATGTTTAGAGAAAGCCCCCTCGGGTCACAAAGTGGCTGCACCGTGTGACAGTCCCACAGCCACATCTCCGTCCCCAAGACACTTCTTCCTTCCTACCTGTTTGGCTTTGGTGGCTGTGTATCTGGAATTGCTATGTGCTCTTGGTGGGCAGGAACCTTGGGGATGAGGAGCACTTTAAAAGTGATTAAAACACAAATATCTAGCCAGACTCTGGCTCATGATCCGAAAAGCCGACGGCGTCCCTCCTTTGAATTACACACACCTCTAGGAACTCAGAAACCACTTCCCTGAGATGGGGACCCTGTGCGCGCAGTGTCCTGGGACATGCAGGCTCCCAGTGACAATGGCCATTTAGCCCTTACACGTTGCTCAGGTTCTGAGGTGTCCCTGGCTCAGGTGAGCATCCCCAGGAGATGAGGGCGGGGAACAGAGGGCCCAAAGTCGCCTCCTCTCAGGGACAGTCCGATTGTTTCTCCACTAGATGAAGAGACTAAGCGGGTGTCAGATAATAGGGAACATAAAAGAAGAAGGGGAATGAGGTCAAGAAGACACACGCAGAGAAGCAGGTGGGAAAGGTGCATGTCGTGGCGTGTGTAAATGAGCTTGAACCAGGGCCGTGAACTCCCAGTAACCTAGAACAATTAGGAGGGCTGTTTGACGATGCCAGTGCAAAGATGCCCTGCACCGAGGCTGCAGAATGGAGACAGACCCTGCTAGGTGCCAAAGCGGGATGACTACATGGCCTGGTGGGAAGGGTACTGTGGTCAGTGACCGGCTCGCTCCTTCCACCTGCTTTAGTCTCCACAGGTGAGCAACACTCACCTGCTGCTGCTTGAACCTGTGTCAGAAGAGACCCACGGACAGGAATGAAAATGGAAACGACACACAGATGCAGCCGGTCACCATCAAGAGTGAGTGAAACAAGCAGTGTGTGGCCAGGGATTCAGTAAGGAAGGACCAAGAAAGCACAAGACAGAGTCCCCAAATTCATCGTGGAATTACCCCCCAGATCCACCCCCTGCCCCCATTTTTGGATACATACCCCAAAGAAACAAAACAGGGGTCTCACACAGACCCTCGCACGCCCATGTTCAAAGCAGTGTTATTCACAGCAGCCAAGAGGCAGGAACAAGCCCTGTGTCCACCAATGGGTATTTGGATTCAGTAAATGTGGTCTGTTTACACAGGGAAAGAGTATTCAGCCATGAAAAGGGAGGAAGTTTTCGTTCACGGCCTGGCATGGATGGACTTTGAAGACACTCTGCCGAGTGAAACCAGGCAGTAACAGAGACAAATACGGTCTCCTTCCACTTATCTGAGGCACCAAGACCAGTCAAAGTCATGGGCAGAAAGCCACAACGGTTGCCCAGGGCTGGGGAGGGGGCTGGGGAGCTGGCGTTCAGCGGGGACAGTTTCAGGCTGGGAGGATGAGCAAGTTCTGGAGATGATGGCGGAGCACAACAGGATGCAGGTCCTGAACAGCAGGGAGCCGTACCCTGCACACACGCGAAGGCCATAGGGCACATTTTCGTTACCTCGCCTTTCCCACAACAACACACACACACAACAAAGGGGGCGGAGCCTCCACTGACCTGTGCGACGTCTCCAGGCGCGCGGGCGTCCGCACCAAGCGGGGCTGGGGGCCGGCCCTGCCTCTCCGGAGGTCCTGCCCGTGGGCTCCCCGCTGTGGGCAGACCGATTCCCCACCACTCCGCAGGCTTCTGGCCCGTTACCGCGTTCCATCCCACCCACCCTCAAGATTCTCGGTTGCTAGGCCCCACCCACCATGACAACTGCCACTGTGACGACCACAGCCTCGGCTTATTCTCATCAACCTGTCCCTGCTGGGTCTGCCCACTTTCCAGGGCAAGGGGGGGGGGGGGGGAGGGCGGCGGGGAGGCTCAGCAAGGGCGCATAAGAGGCCTTGCAGGGTGTGCCAGACCTGAGCCGTGGCTTCTCACGCCCTCCTGCCCCCACCAGTGGTCACTCACAGATACCCTGCTTCACAAGCGCAATGAGGACGTGCCTGTGCAGGTGTTAGCAGATGGGGACGCCAGTGGGCGAGAGTCAGCGTGGAAACACTAGGGACGGGGAACCCAGGAGGAGGGGCACCCTTCCGGCGTGGGACGTGACCCGCTGCTGGAGTCTTGCATCTCCGCCTTCTCGGAACCTGGTCCGCCCGAGCAGGGCTGGAGGGGGCGTGTCAGGCGGTTGATTCCGCAGCGTGAGAAACTGGCCGGCTAAAGACTGGGGATACTGGCGAAAGGGTTTGCTTTTTTTAATATAAGAAATGACGCTGCCAAACAGGCACAGGGGGTCAGCTAGCCAGCACTAAATTTTATTTAATAGATTTTATCCTTTATTGTTAGAAAGAGGGGGAGGGAGAGAGAGAGAGAGAAATATCCGTGTGTGGTTGCCTCTCCCCTGCCCTGCACTGGGGACTTGGCCCAGAACCCAGGCATGTGCCCTGACCAGGAATCGAACTGGTGACCCTGTGGTTTGCAGGCCAGTGCTCAACCCACTGAGCCACACCAGCCAGGGCTATTTACTTTGTATTAAAAAAAATATTTTATTCATTTATTTTTAGAGAGAGGGGAAAAGGAGGAGAAAGAGAGGGCGAGAAACATCAGTGTGGTTGCTCTCAGGCGCCCCCTACTGGGGACCTGGCCCACAGCCCAGGCATGTGCCCTGACTGGGAATCCAACCCTTCGGTTTGCAGGCCCGCACTCAATCCACAGAACCACACCACCCAGTGCTCAGGACTAAATTTGATATGGGGGTCCAAGCCCCCCTGGAGTCTTCTGCTTACACTTTCTATCATCTGGAGACTTTTCTAAGCAAATGAATGGAGAGGTACAAAGATGTACATGAAAAACACACCCAACGAACTTCCTAACTGAGGTTACAGTGGGGACAAGTAGAAAAAGAATCCTAAAAACCCCGTTTAGAGAATACGTTCAGTAAACCATTTTATGTCTTTATAATGACATATGACACAGGAGTTCAACAGTAGGTTGAAGAATAATTTGCAGAAAAGTTTCTAATGGGGTGACTTAAAAAGCAGGTTCCAAAACTACCGGATCAGCCTGGGTGGTGTAGCCCAGCGGACTGAACGCAACCCTGAGAACCACGGGGTTGCGGCTTTGATTCCCAGTCAGGGCACATGGGGGAGGGGAATTGCAGGCCAGGTCGCCACTAGGGGGCGCACAAGAGGCATCCACACACTGATGTTTTTCCTCCCTCTTTCTCCTCCCCTTCCCCCCTCTAAAATAATAAAATCTTTTTTTGAAACGGGATCATACAACCATTTCTTGGAAAAAAAGGAGGGGGAGGAAGAGACGGAAGGAAGGGGATGGAGAGAGAGAAAACGGGGTCAGAGGGGAGAGGGGAAAGAAGGTCCGTGATGCACACCACCAGGTTCTGAAAATGACCACCGCAGCGGTGGCGTGGCACAGCACCCTGAGGGGCCTGAGAGACGGCACTGCTCGCAACATCTGGATGCCGGTGCTGCCTTGGGGCTGCCGGAGAGACGGATGTGGGGGGGGGGGTTGTCATTACCTGGCGACCCTACCATGCTCTGAACATCCCTTGGAAAGAAACACAGTGAGACTCTAAGCAGAGCAACATCTGATGAAACCCATTCCACTCATCGTCAGCTACTGGATATAAACAGAAGCTTCTATGACATAGTTCCGGCCACAGAAACATCACCAAACTTCAAAATAAAGACCCCAAAAACACTCCTACATGAAATATTGAAATATATGGGAGCCACATGTACGTTTAAGAAAGATCAACGAAACACCAGCAAAACGACTTTTGATTTTCCAACCCGCTGATCGCAGTTGCCTCGCAACCGTCTAAGCTTCAGGTCCCCCAGACATGCTCCGTAACAAGCATTTCTCATCCCCCTCCCCCCAACCAAGGGCAGCCCCTGGGCCTGGGGGGTGTGCGGGTGGGGAAGGTGTCCCCCTCACCCAGGCTGCATGCTGGAAACAGAGGGGCACAGGCTGATCCGTGCTGGCCTGGGTTCGAAGCACGTGTGCCCTCAGCAGCTCACAACCTCCCAGTAGCTCTTCTCCAAATACAAAGGGGGAAACTGAGACTCGGCGAGGCTACGCCAGGAGGGGCAAAGGCAGAGAGGGGCTCTGCTCCAGGAACTTGGGCTGTGTCAGGACCTGCTAGTCACTCTGCACGCACGTGGGCCCTGGTGTGGGGGGTGGACTCTGTGGGAAGCCCTAATGCTTCCCCATAGCAGCCCTTGGCCAGGGGACTGGACTTCCCTACACAGAAGGGTTTCAGCCCTCCCCGCCCCCCTTGGACCTCGGGTTTGGCCGTGGGACGTGCTCCTGCAACGGGAGCAGACGTGGAAGGCACCTTTGTCCCTCGTGTCATTTCCGCACGCACCTGCCACCGGCCGAGCCCTGGCCAGGAGTAGCATGACAGGCACGCAAGGGCCAGAGCCTGCTGGTGCACACGCCCTGAGCTAAGACCTACTTCGCCCTGGACACAGTGGGCGTTTTCCAGCTGCTTGTCAGGCCGTGTTCCCAGGGCAACCGCTGACCCATGTCACCCCTGTCCCCGAGGTTTCTGGACTGCGAACGCACTGGCCCGACGTATCGAGTGGCATCGGCAGGCACACACCCATCACCGCATCCCGTGGTGAGTCCACGGGGTTCGGGATCCGACCAATTGGGAGGACTCTGCACTGGCTCCCGAGAGCTGTCCTCCTCCCGTCACTAAGTCAGAGACACGCGCCGTGCACTCGGAGACACTATTTATTTCGTGAAGGTCAAGCAGGACGATGTGTTGAGAGAGGTAAGTGTCGGGCGCGACCCCTGCACACGCGACCCACGGTGAACCGCAGGCGCGGGGCCGCCCGGAATCGGAGCATTCCACAGTGGGGCGATGCCACGGGCTCAGGACGCAGCCCCCTGCCCCGCCAGGAACGCCAGTGGCGGACAGTAGCACCAGATGGGTTTTCCAGGCAATCATGGAACTATGTACAACATCACGTATATACATCAACTCGCCGGAATCTTTGGGTCCCACCCCCACCCCAACACTGAACAGGCAAACAGGGGAACAGCACTCCATGTCGCCACGTACGAGAAAGTGCTCGGGACACATCAAAGGCTGGGTACAGACACACAAACTCTTAGTCACACGGGACACAGACAGCATCAAAACCAGCACAATACTGTATGCGAGGGGAAGGTGTCACAGATAAAACCTTGGTCTAAATTAAAAAGCGAACACACGGAAATGAGGGTGGTGGCCTCCCCGGGGGAGGGAGACGCAGGGAGGTCCACGAACAGGCAGCTGGACCTTTTGTGGCACGGCCAGTCTTCAGAGCCAGAGGCCACCGTGCAAACAGAGGACACTTCCTGGGCGGGTCGTTCAAGTCACAGAGCTTCATCCAGTGGGAGTGAAGACGTCTGGAAAGGCATTTGTCTTTTCGGGGTGGAGCGGGTGCCAAAGAGAGACTTATCGCCTGTGCTAGCAGGGCATGCCCGTGCAGACCACTCTGCACAGCTGAGGACGTGGGCACGGGAGTCCGGCTCCGCCTCTCCGGCGCCTGAAGGACGGACACATGCCCTGAGACATTTCTGCGCGTGTGCGTTCTGGTAAGGCGGCGGTCCCCCCGGACACAGATGCCTCCCCACCTGCTGGAAAACTTCTTTTATGGAAACAATCCCTCCATCCAGCAAATGTCCAAATGCTACCTTCGCATGAACTCATCCCAGGGGTTCCCCCGCCATTAACCACGCATGTGGTCGCATGGAAGCACGCACAGGTTCTACGGTGATTTAGGTGGGAGCCAGGAAGCTCCCACCAAGCCGGTGGCTGGTCCTCTGTGGTGGAATCTTTTGCCCACAATTCACTGGGGCTGTTTCTCTCGGAGGCTAGAGCTTTAATACAATCCTTTACGTATTCTGGAGACAGTTCCTTTGTCACATGCGTGATTGGCCAATATTCTCTCCCAGCTGGTGACTTGTCCACTAGACATGGACAGCACAGTGGTGTTTTTGTTTTGTTGTGTGTTTTAAGTGAACAGATTCTCTTTAGAATCTTGCTGTTTCAACCCGCACACAGGGCACAGAGGCTGTAAACTCGGTGGTGGGCTTGTTCCGGTGACGGGACCTCTAAAAAACCGGAGCCTGGGCTCTTATAGGAAACGGACCGGAGCCTTCACGGCATGCTGGTCAATTTAAAGACAGGAAAATAGGAGAGTAGCCGGTCACCACGAACGGGACCGTACCCACACAAGATAACTGTTCTGGGGGAAAAGGAACTTAAGAAACATCCTGCTGGTCTCATGAGACAAATACTGAGCGAGCACAAGACGGCCAGATACACGTTCCACGTCACTGAACACCGCAGGGAAACATCCACCCCGTGCCTCCAGGGCAGGCGGGCGGAAGGTCTCCGCCCCGTGCACGCGTGTTAAAGCATGCTCACAATCTGTGCTGCAGGGTTAGCATGAGGAAACCCAACACACAGCATATGCATTTCACAGTTGGTTTTGCACCACTGGCAAAGTAGTCACCTTTGTAACGTGTTAATAAATTACGATCGTCATCAGGGACTCTGCCAGGTCAGGGCACACCATGACAGAGAGAGACAAGGAACACCAATGCTTCTGGACAAAGGTGGATGAAAGGGGCAACCTGTGGCCCGGAGGAGTCCCAGGAGGAGACGGGGACCAGGGCTGTGCTGCCGCCGGGCACCCTGCATGCGCCCTCCTTCGCTTCCCAAGAGGCTGGTTCAGCAGTGGTGGCCAGAGGCGGGACCCACCGACCACCACCCACCAGGCCTCATGCACGACAGCCCCGGAGCCCAAGGCTGCAGCCCAGAAACTGCCGCGAACCCCAGACCGGCGCCACCTCTGGTTCCTTGGGAAGGAGAACAGCCGACCAGGAGCCACGGGGCTCCATGTGCTCAAGGGAAAACAGCAGCTTCCGTAAGTCACCCCGAGCACACACAGGAGTCACTGCTTCCCTCGGGGCCGCTTCGCCACGGGACGGTTCTGGCTGCGAGACACAAATACAGGCTTGCAGCCCGGGGACCGCAGCGCCGAGGCCCCGTGTCCGCGCCCCGCCGGGGACGCCCGTGTCACTTGCCCCTGTCGGGCTGCAGGCTGTCCACCAAGCACCTGAGCTGCTCCTCGCCCAGGTGGATCTTGTCCTCCAGCTCCCGCTGCTCGATGATGAGGGCCGACTTCATCTTCACGAAGTAGGCGTAGTCCGCCAGGCTGTCCTCGCTCAGGTAGCTGGCCAGGATGTCCAGCACGACGCGCTCCCGGCGGTCCAGGTTCTCTTTCAGCTCCTTGGCGTCCTCGTGCTGCTGGGTCAGCACCCGCTGCTTCTCCAGCAGTGACTGCTGTGGATGGAAGGAGAGACATGCCTGTGAAGGACCACCCTCGGGGAAGGCAGGGGGCTGCGGCCGACATCCTGAAATCACCGGACGCTCTGGGACCGGCACAGAACTCTGGAGAATGTGCACAGAGGGGACGCACGGCTGTGGAAGGCCCCTGGCCAGTCCTCCTGTCCACCCCCCATCCACCCAGTTCTCTCGGACCTCACCTACCTGCCCCCAACGGCTAACAGAAATAGCCCCAACCAGCCCAAGAGTGACCAAGACACTAAAAACAGCACAATTTGACCCTGGCTGGTGTGGCTCAGAGGAGTGAGTGCCGGCCTGTACACCAAAGGGTCACAGGTTCTATTCCCAGTCAGGGCACGTGCCTGGGTTGCGGGCTGGGCGCCTGGTTTAGGGACCTGAGAGAGGGGACCACACATCAATGTTTTTCTCCCTCCCTTCCCCGCTCTCTAAAAATTAAAATCTTAAAAACAAATTTTTAAAGAACTCATTAAAAAAAATAAATTAAAAAAAAAACCACGACAAAAATTTGGACATGCTCCGAAGGTACAAAAAGGACTCAGGAAATCTGCCTCCATCAAGGGCCTTCCTGTGATAATACAGTGGCAAAAGGAATAGATTCTAAAGAAATCCTCAGGCCCTGGCTGCTGTGGCTCAGAGGTTAAGTGGCGCCCTGAGAACCAAAGGGTCGCTGGTTTGATGACCAGTCAGGGCACGTGCCTGGGTTGCAGGTCAGGTCCCCAGTAGGGGGCGTGCAAGAGGCAACCACACATTGATATTTCTCTCCCTCTCTTTCTCTCTAAAAAACAAAACAAATAATATCTTAAGAAAAAAAAAAGAAATTCTCGGGCAGGGTTTAGTAAAGTGTTCCGGTAGGACAAGCCTGCGGACAGACTTGCAGACAAGGACACAGGAGGGAGCAGAGAGTGGGGTAGGGGAGCCTCACACGGCTGTGGGGGAAGGTTCCCTCTCTCCTTGCAAGGGTCTTGCTCTGGGCACACAGACGACCCCATTCCCAATATGGGGCACTCGAGGTCACCCTCTACCCACAGAACATGCGCGTCACTTCCCTAAGTTCCCCCCGAGGGTCAGGAAGGTGGACAAAGGAAGCCAGAAACACAACTCCAGCGTGGGCAGGGGCCGGGGGGTGGGGAGTGTGGCAGGAATTCTTTCCTCAGTGGGACTTCCTCATTTTCACTTGGCTGCCACACACACTGCCTGCTACCCGACTGCCTTGCAGCTGGGTGGAGGACTGTTGGCCGCGGCCACAGCCAGTGTCCCAGGAGGCGGACGTATAGTACAGCACGGTAACGCAGCGGGACCTCCGTGAAGGTGAGGCGTTCTGCCGCGGGGAGCTGCCGCAGAGGCTGATCTGGGTGTGCAGCCCCTGAGCACACACTGGGCCAGGGTGTACCACCCGCCCCTGGGGACACCTGCACCCAGGTGCTTGCAAAAGAAAGGTGCCGTGAGCCCAGATCGAAACAGGGGAGGCTACGCCAGTGAATTCCAGGCCTAAAGGGAAGGAGGTGGTAATGGATTCCAGAAATCCGGCTCAGGCTGAAATCGGCTGAGCTCCCCGGTGACTGGACCCTGCCAACATGGGGGGGAGGACCTCGTGGTCTGTCTGCGTGTTCATGGCCTATCTGGAGACACGGAGGAAGCCTTCTAAAACCTCACTCCCTGTCTCCTAACTCGTCGGCCTGTCTCTGAAACCCTGAGCTGCCCCACACCCACACGGAGGGGCTCGTCTGATACCAGCCACACCGAAGACCTGGTCACTGACGGGCACCTAACGTGGCAATGGAAGGTGGGAGGTGAGGGCGGGGAAGCTAGTACCAGGAGGGCCATGTTACCCCTCTATGACAGGAAGAGAGGGCTCGCTCCACTTCAACAGCATCCGTACTGACCAGCCCCCCAGCCCCCGATTTCCAGGTCAGATGCGGTCATATATACCCGGTCACCAGGAGAAGTACTGTCGTCCAAATTGTTGAGGGCGTTCTCCACCCGGGCCAGACGACCGGACAGGGACAGCAGGAGGTTGACCACTTTGTCCAGGTCCCCGATGAACATCCGGAACTTGTCGAACTCGTTGGGCTTGCAGACGTCCTTGGCGATGGCCTCCACCTCGTCCCCGAGGGCGTTGTTGGCCTGGATGTCCTCCAGCAGGCTCTCGCGGGCTTCCCGCAGCACCTGCAGCTTGCGGCTGATGCTGTCAATGAGCTCCTGCTGCGGGGCACAGGGCACATGCAAACAGTCGTCAGGGGCACCACCCCGGCCTATCTACCGCTATGGCAACAGCAGGCAAACCACGTAGGGGCTTCAGCAGCATCGAAGCACACAGGGTGCGTCAGACCAGCGGATGGATACTGACTCCCAGTTAAATCACTGCATTTAATTTAGAAATAAAATAAACCGCCCTGGCTGGTGTGGCTCAGTGGATGGAGGGTCAATCTGCGAACCAAAGGGTCACTGGTTTGATTCCCAGTCAGGGCACATGCCTGGGTAGTGTAGTGGGCCAGGTCGCCAGTAGGGGGCGCGCGAGATGCAACCACACATTCATGTTTCTCCCCCTCTTTTTCCCCCTTCCTTCCCCTCTCTAAAACAAATAAATTATTTATAAGAAAAGAAATGAAATAAACCTATTCTCACTCTCTTAATGTTGTACCAGATTACAAAGATGTTGACCTCTGTGGGCTACTCATGGTAAACCTCATTTCAACCCAAATCTTTGCAAAAGTTCTCAGGGTCCCTGAGAAACTCTGTGCTTCTATTCTGGGAATTCCCAATTTAAAGATTTACATGTACAGCGGGAACTGAGAGGCAGGTCCAATCCTGAATCTCATGATTAAAAAGTACGTTCTACACAGAATTAGCAAATTAACAATTTAGGCAAGCCCTGGTTGTATATGGGTCAGTTCATTGGAGGGTCATCATGGTCATCAAAAAAGGTTGCAGGTTCAATTCCCCGGTCAGGGTGCTTAAGGAGGCAACTGAGTGATACTTCTCTCTCACATCAATGTTTCTCTCCCTTCTCTCTAAACAAATCAATAAACCTATATTTGGGTGATTAAGACAAATAAAGGGACGTCGAGGAACTTAAGTCTTTTAGAATAACCTACTGGTTTCCACTTGACAAACATACATACAAGTGACTAATTTTTACTGTGGCACATCAGATATGACATAAAATGTACCATGGTGCCCACTTTTAAAAAGTGGCATTCCGTACGTACACGTCACCTTCACCTCCATCCACCTCTAGAAATTCTTCATCCTCCCAAACAGAAACTCGGACCCTTACACACACACCACCTCCTCATTCTCGCTTCCTGCCAGCCCTGTAAATGACTCATTTTCAAAGAGTAAAACTAAAAAGTAAAACCCGTAAGACCTTTAACCCGGCCACCGCCCCAAAGTGAAGCGTGCCATGCGGTCTGAGGTGACCCGCCTCCCCCACCCTCATGCCTAAGAAAAACGGCAGGAATGGCTCAAAGAGAGACGAGCGGGCGCCCCTCGCCTCGGAACGCGCCGGAAGGAAACTAAAGGGCCCCTGAGCCCGCCACTGGGCCTGTCAAAGTCCCACAACAAACACTCTTCATTTTCATTTTGTTCCAGGAGAGCTACCATTTCCTAAATTAAAAGCACTTTTCTTCATGTACGGTTCACAGCAGCACGGATCTCGGACAACATCCAAGGTGCTTGCAAGCTCCCAGGAGCACCTCGGACCCAGGAACGATACAAGCTGACTGTCAGTCAACATAACCCTTGGCAAAGGTCTTGTCAAGGAAAAATAAATAGATCGGTATGATTTATGAAAGGCCTCTCACATGGAGAACACTCACAAACTGACGGTTCCCTTCTTTTTCTTCTCCTGCTATTGACTGTTTAGGTCAATAAACATCTTGTTTCTTGTACACTCCCCAACCAGCCGGGGACCGAACCTGCAAGCTAGGCACATGCCCTGATCGGGAATCGAACTTGCCACCTTTTGGTCTACAGGGTGATACCCTCACCAAGTGTGCCAAGACCCGCTTAGGTACTACGCCACCGGATCTGCAAGCAGAAGGACAGCAAAGCGATCCAGGTGGAAAGGACCGGTGTTAGAACGGAAGACTGCACCCCGGGCTTAACACGACCGTGCAGCAGTGACTCTCACTCACAAAAGACAAACTCAGGCGCCCCCAACACGCCGTGCAGGCGCCTGCCAGCCCGCCCGCCCCTCGCCTGCCTCTCCGCGTGTCCCCATGTGGGGCCTGGCTTTCCTACCTTCTTCACAGACAGGTCATGGTCCAAGTCGCTCCCCGAATCGTCTTCGGGCTCCTGCTGCTCCTGCAGATCCTTCATCTTGATCAGCAGCTCCGCCTTGGGGGCCGACGTGCTGTAGTAGGTGGAGTTGGTGGCCAGGAACGCGGCTGCCGGCGCGCTCGGCTCCTCTCTCCTGGGGGCACACGTGGGAACACGGGTCAGCCACGAGCACTCGCTGAGGTCACTCACTGAGAACCTGGGCCGCCACGGAAGGACACCCGCCAGGGCGGTGGCACCGCCGAAGCGGATATTCGCGACTACACATACCGGCCAGGTACATACTCATAGAATCTAACTCATGTGGTCTCTAAAAGCGGGGGAACGCCAATCAGCCAGGGTGTGTGGGTAAACATCCGCACACGGAAGGGAAGAGGACAGAAGGACGCCGTCTATCAGAAATGCACCCTCCTAGGGCAGCCATACTGCCTCCCTGTTGCTCTGGTCCCCACCGCTCCCTCTTGCTCACCTGCGGCTCTGCACTAGGACTCCGCGGAGCCAGTGGGCATCAGTGAGGGACAGGCGGGCCCACGTGACCCCCCTGCAGGCAGATGGCTGCCTGAGGCACCAAGGACGGCGTTTGCAACGCCCATGAAAACTAGTTCTTTCACTCCCATGCACACGCAGCTGCCTCTGCTCTCTGATCCACACGTCTACCCATGCACACGCCTTTACGCCTCCTGGGACAGGTGTCCCCGCCTCCGCGCTGTGGCCCTGGGCAAGCTCGCTCTGTGGCAGGGCCCGCAGTGGGCACTGCAGGACACTGACAGGCATTCCTGGTCTCCCCCCAGCAGACGCCAGGAGCCTCTCTTGCTGCCCAAGACCAGAAACACTGTATCTGGACATTGCGACCCATCCCCTGGGGGGACACTACAGCCCACTAGGAACTGCTGTGCTGTGACAAACGAGCCCTGTGGGCGTCCCCGAAAGCCACACCGGCCTCACGCCAGCAGGCCCGGAACCTACGGAATGTGGCTATCATTCCTGTGCCAGATCCCAAGTCGTGAAGCTGCGGAGGACGTCCGACATGCCCGCCCTTCTCTTTCCAGAGGGTTGCACACAGCCGAAGTGGGCTACGCAGGGGGCCGGTCCCCACCCCGAACAAGCACCTGAGAAAGGACACACACACCCAGGCCCCCCGCCCTCTGCAGCCTCACAGGGAGCACGGCCCCTACTCACTTCTCCTCCGTGGTTCTGGGCGAGGGGACCTTGGGCAGCAGCTTCCTGCGCTGCTGAGCCTCCTCCAGCAGGTGCTGGTCCTGGGGGAAGATGCCCGCCATGAGGTCCCTGGTGGTCTTCATCCTCACGCCGGGGTCCAGGATGTCGGCCAGGGACTTGTCCTTGCCCACGATCTCCCGGGCCAGCTCCTCCGACTTCAGGTCCTCCGCCGTCCGCTCTCTGGCCTTCACGTAGCTGAGCGCGGGCGGGGAGGCGCGGCCGTCGGGGGCACCGGGCGCTGCAGGCGGCTGGGCACGGGGCTCCGGCTCGGCGCCCGGGCGGCTGTACAGGCAGAAGCGTGAGTAGGACTGCTCCGACGTGCTGAGCGTCTTGATCTGGTCCCGCTCCAGCCCGCTGGGCAGCGCGGGCGGCTCGGCGGGGGCGCGCGCCAGGCCCTGGCGGCTCTCCTTCTCAGGCTGGCTCTCCGAGTGCACGATCTTGATGGGCACCATCTTCACCGTGGTGTTGTCGATCACCCGCTCGATCCTGCTGAGAGAGGAACAGCCGCTGGAAGGCCCGGTGCGCCTGGGGCCGCACCCCCACCCAGGAGGAGAGGCTAGCGCCTCTTTGGAAAAAAAAAAAATAGTGTCTTAGTCCAAGAAGCTGGACAGGCGTCCAGAGCACCCACGGGAAAGAGAAAACGGAGAGAGAAATAGTCTGGCCAGTACGATGCGGCTGTGTTCGTTCTGGACACCCTTCCGAATGGCAGCTGCTGTCCCCACCGCCCCTCGCTGGACCATACCCCGGGAGGCCCTGCGGAGGACCGCCACCAGGACCAAGAGCTGTTCCCAGCATTTTTTACGGTCATATCGGAGAAAGAGAGCCTTCTAGTGGTGCTCAAGAAGAAAGAGAGGGGGGAAAAATAATAAATACACCACAAGCTCAACTCCCAGCTTATTTCTAACTCAGTGGGCTTAACCTCACTTCTGCAACGAGACCCTGGCAGACCCAGTTCCATGGAGCACAAGGAGGGGGGCTGTTCTCACCCTTTCCCTGGTGGATGGATCTTTCCCCATTTAGGATGGATCTATTCCTAAGCGTGTGTGCAGGTTGACATGGGACAATTATGTATTCTCTTCTCTCCCAGTGCAAACGTTCACAGCAGACATGTTTAATACAGGTGTTCATGTACCACCCTGATTACACCGCCCTCCTGAGCAAAAAGTAAAAGCCTCACTGCGCAGTCCCAGCCGGGGGGCTTAGCTGGCTGGAGCACCAACCCATACACCAAAAGGTTACAGATTCAACTGCCAGTTAGGGCACCAAGGTCGCAGGTCTGGTCCCTGGTCCGGGTACGTTATGGGAGAAAACAGACTGATGTTTCTCTCTCTCTCTCTCTCTCTCTCTTTCCACACACCCCTCCCTCTCTCTGTAAAATCAATACACATACCCTTCGGTGAGGGTTAAAAATTATTTTTAAGAAAGCTAACTACGCACAAAATACCATTTTGCTTTGCCCAAGTTTAGAGGGGACATTCTGGCCTGTTACGCAAGTGACAAGAAGCAAGATGCCCTGTGCCCTCCTTTCATGGCCCACCCCTCACCCCCGGCCACCAGCTGCTGACGCCCCAGGCAGCCTGCAGCTCTCCCTGCCCCCTGCGCATGGGTGCAGAAGTGCCATTTCCAGCTAAGGTACTGGGGAAATACAGGGCCCACAGCTCCGCCACAGGTGGGGGTGACTTCCCAACACAGCACCCCTGCCTGGTCATGCCTACGCACTGAAAATGGCCCCGACTTCCACACAAAGAGTTGCAAAAACGGTCACTTGGAAACGAGCAGAAAACGGAGGAGACCTTACCAGCGGAGGGACCGGGCAGGGCGAAGCGCGGCAGCCTCTACGGGACTCAGAGGGCGCTCCCTGCGGTCAAGTCAGCGGCCACCCGAACCGGCCAGCCCCCAGCATTGCCCCTGCCATCCTGCTCCACACACAGGGTCACTCCCAGAGCCGGCCAGCCTGCACACCCCCCTGGTACGGTCCACAACCCACTGAGGAGACTCAATCAAACACGATGCTCAAGGAAACCAATCAAACCTAAATCGTCTGCGCCCTCATTTCAGAACGAGATGGAAACTCTCCACTTGTTCCCGGTCTCACTTCTTCAAAGGCACTCAGACAGGAGGGGCCGAAAGCTCAGCCGTCAGAGCCCTTGACTGGCCGGTCCTGGCTCCCCCAGCCCTGGCACGCACCGGTGTCTCCACGGGCACGGCCCACAACCGCATGCCTGAAATTCCGGCACCAGCGCCGGGAAATGGAAGCACTGTTTCTCCTGCTTTCGGACAAGGTGCATGGCAGCTTAGCTTTGTCCCACAGAAAGATGCATGGAAGGATTACATGGTATGAAACACGCATTTCACTAACACAGGTACTGATTACGAACAGAAAACTCGGAGATGCCGGGGGACATCCGAGACATGAGAGGTTAGGGGCTTGGACCAAGGGGACGAGGCAGGGTCTACACCCTCCTTCACATCTGTGGGGGGCAAGGCAGCTCCCCAACAGGTTGCAACCTGCAACCACTGGAAGCTGTGGTTCCCTCCCCGTTCGTCCCGAAGACCAAGTGGAGACCCGGCACCTGGGGCCGATGCAAAGCTCCGCTCAGGCACCACCCAGGAAACATGCACCAAACCCTCCCACGGCTGGAAGGGGGCCTGTGGAAGGGGAAGAAGGCAGAGGCCACCGCCCCAGGACAGCACCTGGCCGAACTGTCATCCTGGATGAGCAGGGGGGGTTTGTCCGTCAGCTTCTGGGGGGCGAACTGAGGAGAAGGGGAGCGAGAGGTCTCCATGCTGGACAGCGGCAGGGGCCGGACCCTGGACGGGGGCAGGGCTTCCCGCCGAGGGCAGGCTGGGTGCTCTTCTACATGCTGAGAGTCTGGGTCCACAGCGGGCTTTGGGGCGTCTGCGTGCTGGCTGCCACTCGGCCTCTCCGCCAAGGCACGGGGGCTGCAGGAGAGAGACAGGCGGTCCACGCACACCTCCAGGGCCTCAGGTGACGGCGGGGGAAGGGGCCTGCCAGGTGCAGCCAGGTGATTGGCCGCAGGTGCGCCCACAGGTGCGCCTGGGGGAACGGCACCGGCCGGTCCCCTGAAATGTCTCGGCTCGCGCTTGGGTGGCGGCGGCCTCTGTGGAGCCGGGCGCTTGGCGAGGGACGAGGCACTCAGAGGCCGGGGGTCCAGCCCCCGCGTGTGCGGGGCTGGGGGGCTGCTGTGCGTCTGGGATCCTGGGCCTGGCGGTGGCAACAGGACGTGTGCAGGGCTGCGGTCCTCTGAGTATCTGTAGTCACAGGGGAGGGTCCCCGCTCTGCTGCGGCCCTCGTGGGGCGCCTCCGCCGCGTCCTGGGCATGGGACGGCTCAGAGCCCCGGGCCGGGTGCCGCGGGGCCCGGCATGCTGCTGCACTGAGTTCCGGATCCTGGGCGTCTGCTCGTCTAGGGGAAGAACGAAGAAAGGTGAGCAACCGAGTCCCAAAGAGAACGGCGAGGAACTCAACCCACAGGCACGTTCCTCCACCGGCTCCTACTGCAGTCCCTGATACAAGCTCCAGAGCCCAGACACATCCCGGGCCCCATCACGCTGCGTGTTGGCACGTCCTGCAGCCGGATATGAGGTAGTAAAAACACATGCACCCGCCCGGGCTGGTGTGGCTCAGTGGATGGAGCACCAGCCTGTGAACCAAAGGGTCGCTGGTTCGATTCCCAGTCAGGGCACATGCCTGGGTTGCAGGCCAGGTCCCCAGTAGGGGGCGTGTAAGAGGCAACCACACATTGGTGTTCCCTTCCCTCTCTCCCTCCCTTCCGCTGCCTAAAAATAAATAAACAAATATTCTTTAAAAAGTAAAAACATATGCACCCATGTTAGACACAGACGAACATACACATCCACACAAAGTCCATTTGGGGGCAAAAACCACAATTTACACCACCACCTTAGAAGCCAATGTTTGTGAAAATTCTCGGACACAGCTCTGTTCAGAAATATTTATTTCACATTGCAATAATATTCAGAAAATGTCTACGGTGGGCTGCACATTAACATATTTTAAAAAAACATTAAAATCAGCAGTGTATTAGCAAAAAAAGGAAAAAGAAAAAGACTTGCTTTAGGAAATGGCAATGACTTAACCATCTTTTCGTATTCTTACCCATTTCCAAATCCAAACTCTGCTTCTTTCTTCCCATACTATGTACATCTGTGTGTATTGATGCGCAGGCACATACACAAACATGCCTGCAAGACCACATGTGCATGCTTCACACACGTTTCCCTGCACCACACCTGAAGCTCACGGCCTAACAGGCGTCAAACTGGCAGCAACTCAGCCGGCCACACCTTTGCCAATACCCTGCCTCTTGTAACATGACACAGCAATAACACAAGCCCCTGAGCGAGCCTCCCAGTCAAGGCAAGAGGTATTTTCCATGGGGAAGACAAGCTCTGAGTGACACTAAAGGAGCCCCTGGCCAGGGCAGGGGACAGAGAACCAGGAGGTAAAGCGTCTATAACCTGCAAGGACCAGGCTCGGACACGTTGCCCTGAGCACCAGCGCCCCCTTGTGGCCCAGGAGCGAGTCTGCAGCCTGGGACATGATACCTGGCCTGGGCAGTACCTGTATCTCCTCTCTGCCACGGTGCTGCATGCCATGTGCCAGGCCTCTGTCCCTCTTGTTAGGTCCTCAGGAGAAAAGCCCCCTCCAGGTTCGGTGGACGCCCCAGATGCTTTCAAGTAGGAAAGCAGGTATCATGCCAGAGTCCGTCCATTGTCCCTGCCTGGTCAGCCGCCTGGGGCTGCATTCCCCGCCCAGCACCACCCCAGTAGAGAGAGAAAACCCGGCCCCCGAGCCAGAAACTGGGATCCCTCAAACAGATGACACAAAGCGTCACATCCTACAGGGGCCCCCAAGAGAGGACAGGCATGCTCTCTGCTTCCCGGAAACTCCCAATACCTCCTCATCTGCTTAGAAAACAAGCTGTGAGGGAAGAGTCGAGTGTAAGAGCTTCGGCAAATGTTACGTTTTACAGATACATGTATTAGGACGGCACTGAGACAAACTAAAACGGACCGAAACGAGCTGATCAGAGCAGCAAAGGGTCACTGGAAAACACACGCCACAGCGGACAGCGCATTCTGGGGGTGCAGCTCCGGGGGCCTGGCCAGGGGGAGCGAAGGCCCCCTGCCCCCCTCCTCCAAAGGCAACAGCCGACGTCCATTCAGCAGGGCCTGCCCAGTGTCTCCCTCCCAAGACTTGGTGACCTTGTCCTTCCCCTCCTGCTAAAACTCTTGCTCCCTGATCAAAGCACCTGGTGCCTGCTATTTCATAACTACTCCCCACCCAACAGAAATGGGAAAGAATTAGTGAGAATTTACCACTTCAATCTCAGGGCCCTTGGCCATCTGGAGTCCCACTGGGTGTGTTCATGGAGATGAGTTCTGCAGGCAAAGTCCCTGACATGGGCTAGGCTGCCAGGTCCAGCCAGATGCAGGAGAGCAGTCACCTGTGGGAGCAAAGTCCCGCTGCCCAAGTAAATGAGGACCCAGAGACAAACCGCAGCTGCCCAGGGTGGGGTCCGTCCCGCCTTCCTCACCAGAACACCCTGTGCGGCAACAGAGGACACGCTGCTCCCCAGGACAGTGGCCCCCGATGGCCGTCGCTCATTCTAGAAGCGCGCTTCACCGTGCTGCAGCCCCAAGCCTCGCCCAGTTCCGTCCACCGCACGCCGCAGTTTGGGGACCAACTCTGCCCCCCACCTTCCATGCCCTCTTCACCTCCCCCCAGAGGTGAACTCTCCTTTGCAAACTCAAAGGCATCAAAACAGTAACTGGTTTTTATTGTCCCAGCTGATAAGAACTCAGGAAATCAGGGCCCCCCCCAAAAGGAACAACCGTGGGTATTGGGGGTTCTGCTAGGTACGGATCGGGTTCCAATCCGTGTTTCTCATAGGTTCCAAGTGACTGCAAGGCAGATAGTCTGCTCACGTCTGTCTGCATCATGAGTGCTGTGTATGTGTGCACCTGAGCCTCGGTGCATATATGTGTGTGGGTACATCTGTGTATATATGTACACAGATGCACACACACCCCCCGATGTTCACAGCAGCACTATTCACAATCACCAAGATATGAAGAAGCACCCCAAGTGCCCACCAGGAGATGAGTGGATAAAAAAGCTGTGGTCCACACCCTGGCTGCTCCGGTTGTGCACCTGAGCCCCGAGTCAGGTCACACAAAGGGACATGGAGAAGGAGCTGCACGTAGCATCCTTGCCATCAATATTCCAGCCAGTTGCATGTTTACGTGCATGCAGAGCACACACAGGACACGCTGCCAAGGAGACACCTGCCTGTGCAGGTCCGGTTGGAGGGCAGCAATATATATATATATCTCAGACAGATGCCCGTGATGCTGAAGGACATGGCTGCTCCCACAAGTTCAACCCCAATGCCATCTCGTAGACTTGGCACAGTCACTTCTTCACGGTGGACGCTCCACGCCAGCTACTCTCTCAGTGCCAGCCCCAAACGGGCCCCCTGGCCCCCTTCCGTGATTCCAGTGCCACGTGGGGACAGCAAACCCTCCAGAAAGTCAGGTGACCATCACTTCCCTCCCAACTCAGAATACCCTCTGCCCGGACCACGGAGGGGGGGGGCAACATTTTAATTTTTACCTGGGGGTATTAAAGCTTTGAGAAGCAAGAACATTCCCACCACGTGCGTGACAGAAGACACGGTCCACCCCCATGTCTCCAAGACATCGAGTGCACGTGGCCCCTCTGGGGACCTCAAGCCCACCCGCCCACTTTTCCTCTAGTGAATTCTGACGGAAAGGACACCTGAGAGTTTCGGGTGTACAGATCCAAGCTCCCCAGAAATCCAAGTGCTCCATCGGGAAGGCAGGCCTGGGCAGAGGTGGGGGCCGGTGGGAAAGCTTCTTTCTCGGAGAAAACCGCCTGGGCACTCTGGACGGCCAGCCAGCCAGCGGTGGCTGCCTGCTCCATGGGGTGTCTGTCCCCCGCCCAATGTCTAACCACCTGCTTGTCCACCCACTTGGCCGTGAAGACGAAAAGCCACTCCCGAGGTTCTCTTTGGCTTCCTGTGTCCCTCCCCTGTGAGATTTTCATCTCTGGAAAAAAATGTTTCACCTTACTCCTCCTAAACCCAGAAAGGCATCTCAAACCCTGGGTCTGGGAAGGGGGCCCTTGGCCTGTATCTGCTGGCCCCCTTGGTCTAGAAGGCAAGGCATGTGTTCATTTTTCTTTAGAAAAAAAAATGCGACTTCCGCCAAGATGGAGGTTTAGGTGGATGTGCCATGCCTCCTCACACAACCAAGTTTAGGGACAACTAAATATTAGCATCAGAAAACACAACCAGAACACGGAAAACTGAACTTTTCGGAAGTCCGCTAACAACAAATTCTTCAGCCCGACCGGTAAGGGGCGAAACCGGCGGCTGGTGAGGAGTTACAAAGGAGGGCTCGGTGGGACCCGGGCGCGAATCCAGACGCACGGGTTCCAAACCCAGGATTGGACCTAGTGAGCGACCGAGCAACCCACCAGGTGAGCGACTGCAGAGGAGACAGTGGGGAGGCGGTGCAGCGTGTTGACTGCGGTTGCCTAATTGCGCGCGAGCGAGGGAGTGGGCGGTTGGACCGGCCGCGGCGGTGATAGACGGCGGCCAAGGCCATAGAGGGCGCCGCCATTTCCCCGCTCTGACCACGCCCCCACATACAGCGTCACAACCAAGCGACCTGGGACTCCAAGGCGCCGCTTCTCCCACTTAAAGGGCCAGAACAGACCAAAAATGTCACAGGAAGACCTCAAAGCCCAACAGATAAATCTAAGCGACGAAGAAATAGCAAAACTCTCAGACGCACAGTTTAAAACACTGGTCATCAGCTTCCTCACAGATCTGGTTGATTATAGCCACAAATTAGAGAAACATATGAAGGCTAAATTAAGGGAAATGAATGGAATTCCACAGGAAACCCATAGAGATGAAAAGGAAACTGGGACTCAAATCAATGGAGTGGACCAGAAGAAACCAAATAATGGCCAAACAGAAAAGAGTCAAGGAGCAAGAATTCAAAGAAATGAGGAGAGTCTTAGGAACCTCCAGGACATCTTTAAACGCTCCAATATCCGAATTATAGGGGTACCAGAAGGGGGGAAAGACACAACCACCAGTGGAAAAACTATTTGAACAAATAATAAAAGAAAATGTCCCCAATCTGGCAAAGGAAATAGACTTCCAAGAAATCCAAGAAGCCCAGAGAGTACCAAAAAAGTTGGACTCAAGAAGAAACACACCAAGGCATATCATAATTACATTAGCCAAAATTAAAATGAAGGAGAGAATCCTAGAAGCAGCAAGAGCTAAGGGGACAATCACCTACAAAGGAGTCCCCATCAGACTGTCAGCAGATTTCTCAAAAGAGA